AAGAAAGCTGCAATATCTTTCCCGGGTACATCTGTATCTATTAATATATCATAAACATCCAGCGTTATAGTCGAATATCTATCGGACCAAAGCTAAATATTCTGCAATATTCAGTCATTCAATATCCAAGAGATATCCGTGAATATCTCCCGAATATCCATCCTATATGATTGCACAATGCATATCGCAATATCGCATAGAGTTCGCGTTCACAAAGCAGCCGCACGCGGGTAAGCAGATAGACACTAGACAATATCCTCGATACTAACAATTCCCACTGGTCGACGAAAGGTTACTGTGTACACGAGATGGAGAGAGACACAGAAAAAGAGAGAGGGGGGGAGGGAGAGAAAGCTAGGATGTCTAGAATCGCAAAGAGGAAGGCGACAAAGCGTGGTGTATGGATACCGAGCGAGAGATGAGGGTGCAGAGCTATGAGGATGCGCGAGAGTGCGACCGATAATGATACAGAGAGAGAGAGAGTGAGAGGGAAAGAGAGAGGGAGGGAAGAAAGAAGGAAAAGTCCGCAGTTAAAAGATAGATGCAGAGAGAGAAAGAGAGATATCAGAGGCTAGAGAAGAGATGAAGGTGCGATGGCGCGAGAGGGTTGATTGAAGTGCATCTATTATTACATACTTACGTGCGCGTACTTACTTGGATACGCCGTTGTTGCTGTTCGTGTGCATCGGATGTAGAACGTAGGCGGTGCAGGTGCATTGTCGTCGGTCCTCCCTCGTGGTCGCCGCTGCTAGGTTCGCCGTTGCGACAACGATAAGAGCGATGATGCACGCGCGAATGCACGATAAACGCAGCGACGGATGCTGCACTTCGGGCAGTGCGTCCGAGGGGCGCGATTGTCACATTCGTCTCTTGTCGCACGACAACTTTAGGGAAACTGTTCACGCCGTTCGCGACGCGTTCGCGCGAATCTGAATCCAGATAAAAGTATCAATGTCCGGACATGCGCCTAATCCTGAGTACTCTTATTGTTTTGCTTTTTAAATACGTATATTTAAACTTTTAAGGGGATGCTGAAGCTGAAAACTTCACCGATAGAATATTGGTATTTTTCTGGAGAGTTTACGTCGTATTAATTGTACGAAATTACAGATTACTTTTACACAATGAAAGTACGTGCAAAAATAAATAGAATTATTGCTCAATATATGATGAAAATGAAGAAAAATATTTTAAATGTAAAATCTCAAGATAGTGTAATATTTGCCTAATTCAAAGTTTCATAGTTTATACATATCATAGTTTATACATATCAAAAGTGTGGATACTACAAACAGAAAAATTTTAAAGAATATTGCTGTACTTTCACATTTGAATTCAGAAGCTTAAGAATATCGGAAAAGTTTGCAGAAAGATTTCTGTACATGCGCAGTTAGTTTTCCGCTAAATATGGTAAAACAAAGTGATACATTTTTAGATGAATTCTGTATGTACAAAAAATACAAAAAGGATAGCGTAATTGTGTTAGTGACAATCTGGGTTTCTAGGTTATCGATATTTTTCCAGTTCATCATCGACTTTAGTATCCCTTTAACACAAAATATATACATACATGTATTGAATATGTACACAGAGAGAATTTTTTAGTAAAAACTACACTTACTATACTGAGGGAAAGAATATCTGAAAAATAAAAAGAAATATTTATTCGCTGAGCACTAGTAATATATTTAAATTCTTTTGTCTAAATAAAAGAAATTATTGCTTTCATGAAAAAAAAAACAATGGTTTTAAAAAAATATATATTTTCTTATTTGAGAGAAAAAAATTTTTTTGAATGTAAAAATTTATACGTAATATATTATTAGTATTCATTGAATATTATTTATGAATATTATTCATTCAATATTATTCATTGAATAGATATTTCTTATTTTTCAGATGTTTTTCCTTTCAATGTATAGAGTTGTTTAATCGAGGAGTAAAAATTATGCAGTAATTGACTACCCTTTCATTTTATATGTGCTATCTCTATTTTAGGAATTTAAATGTGCTATCTTTATTTTAGGAATTTAAATGTGCTATTGAAAATTTTGCTATGTTTTTAACGAAATTTATTATGCATTATTTATTATTTCTTAGCAAAACAAATCTTATTGACAATTTATTTGTTCTACTAGAAACACAGTAAAATTGAAAAAAATTTATATGAAAAGAAAACCATATAATATTCTCTCCGTGTACATATATTTTACACACGCAAAGAAATCACTTAGTAATCTCAGTGGCTGATTCGCCTTTAGCTAAAAAGGTAATCGTTTTGCTGTCATTGCTAAGAGTTGGCCGTCACAGGTAAAATGCATTCATTGTGAGATAGAAATTAATTAATTGAAATTAAAAGCGCACATTTGTTCGAGTAGCTAAAAAAGCAGCAGCTACTTTTAAATATCTTATGCGCGTGAGTCTCGTGTATTCGACTTTGTAAGGACTTAACTTTACAAAACTCGTACCACCTCATCGCGCGCGCTAATTGACCAATTTTCTTTCATTAATGTCTCAATAATTACCGCGGCAGAGTCTATACAAGATGATACAATATTTTTCTATCCAATTTAACAAGTGCTGTCTGTACGGATACACACACATACACGAGCACTTAAATCCAGACACTCTGTATAATTAATGGATATATATATAAAACAACAAGTTCTGTCTCTTCACAATCTCTTTATTATATTTATTATATATTATATAATAAATATAATATATAATATATTATATTTATAATATACTTATTATATATAATATAATATAATATAATATATTATATATTATATATATAAATATATATATATATATTTATTATATTTATTATATATTATATATATAAATATATATATATATATATTTATTATATTTATTATATATTATATATTTTTTCTTCAAAATGTCGTTGAAAATGTATGCAGAATGTCTGGCACAATACGTACATCAGCGCGCGTGTATGCGAATAGGATTCATAAAATTAAACCAAACAGTCTTTTATCATTTTGTAAATAACCACGACAATTATTCCTTTACTTCGATTCGCAGTAACTTTATTAATCCTGTCATCGTAACAATGGAGACGACACGAAGGAAAGAGTTTCGACAATTCGATCGCGAATGTCCTTCGTATCACCGTATTCGATCGATTAAAACACTCGACTCTTTCAAATAAATGACGAAAGAGCAGTACAGACGCGTGCCAAGGAGATTTCTTTTTATTTTATGTCGCTACCTCGATTTATCTCGATTTATTTCGCGTGTTATAAGCGTTTGAAGTCGCGTTGCATAGACGTCTAACACGGGCGCGTGTACTTGCTCTGGCGTCGGCGCGATGCGTACTAAAGTGAGGTGAACGACCGCGGTGAGAAAGTGGGCGGAGTATCTGGTTATCGTCGCGTGATGGGGGAGAGGGGGGGGGCAATGAGCCGTACTACCGCGTGCCGTCGCGTACAGTAGAAAGTGACTCTTCGGGAGAGAGAGAGCGCCGCGCTCCGCATTCCTTTCACTCGTCGCGTCTTTTCCGCCGAACGATCTAGAACGCGGATCGATATAATTGTGAATAACTCCACTTGTGGACGTCGTAGCGACTTGAAACCAACGTCATTGCACGGGAAAAATTACGGCGCTTCCGGTGAACGTGAAATCGCCTTTCTGTGTCGAACAGCATGATTATGTAAGTACAAAAGACACAAGACACTTTATGTTTGCGTCACAGTTAACAATCCGCGATCGAATTGTTGAGATTTCTTTCTTCATATCGTCTGTTGTTACGGTGACGTGATTAATTAGCAGTCTCGTCAATTTTACGTTTTTGACGGGCATAAAGCGTAATTTAAGTGAAAACCGAATTGATAATAATGGAAACCTTCTATATTCACAATGAGAGACAAAAATATCTAAGAAATAGTAAATATTTATTTGATGGGTATTAAACAGCATACGTTTACTTACGCACTAATGAAAAATATTTTTTAAATAATAAAATATACATTTCTTTAAAATCTTGATAAAATCAAAGTTTGTTATGAAAGCACTTGTTTGTTCTATTTAAATAAAAGAATTTAGATTTGAGTAAATAGTGTATCCACCAAATAAATACTTATTAATTCGTAGATATATTTTTCTCTCAATGTAGTAGCAACGACACTAATTCTGCTTATTTCAATGACATGTTCTTAGCTGTTACATTTTAGCTCTTGAGGCTAATCCTTTTTTCGTGTATGTTGAAAATTTAAATATTCGTATTTGAAAAGCAAAGCAGTAAGAATTTTCAGGATTAGATATACAGAAAAAATATTACAGTTCTTTTCTTTTTCATATAAATTCTTCTCAGTTGTGCTATATATGTTTTTAACAAATCAAGACTGCTAGTACGGTCTATTTTGTTAAGCAACATAGCCAATTTTTTAAAGAGAAAGACAGCAAATTTTTCAATAGCACCCTTCAGTTTCCAAATAGCGCATATGAAAAATAAAGGGATAATATATTACTAATAGAATTTTAATCTACTCCTCGGTCACAAAGTTCTATAATAATTCTTGGCATAAAATTCTTTCTACGCGCATGCGTTCGGGACTGATACTTTTACCTTGTGATGATGCGGGCGCGAAGTATAGACGTTCCGTCGTTTAGTTTTTGCTCTCTTATCCTCACCGCATGACTTCTCCCGTATCTGTTGCGCGAATTCCGAGTGCGTACAGGTCGCACAGACGACAGTGTAGTAAAATGTGGATCAATGGGTTTTATTAACCGACGCACTTCTCGATTCGCTCGAATCGCGATTCCATCAAAGAATCGCCCGTTGATTTTATTTGAAAGCGGTGAGCGCTGCATTTTATTTCCGCGTCAATTTGTTTAGTTACAGCGGTCCCTTGTGAAGCCGCGCAACAATTAATTTTAATCCTGAACTCCTGCCCTCCCTCCCCGCTCATCCCCTGTCCCTCTCCCTCCGCCTCTCTCTCTCTCTCTCTCTCTCTCTCTCTCTGCCTCGGATTTTTATGTGAACACCACCGGTACGTTCCATTGTTCTATCGGCTATCTTTTTATGGACGTCGCGCGGCAAAAACGCGGTTTAAACGATATACGTTCGCGTGTTTTTTCCCTGTTTTTTTTCGATTGTTCGATTCCGCGACGTCAACTGTCGAAAATTCGCGTATTATAATACGGGGGAGAGAAAAGAGAGAAAAAGGTGAAGGGGGAGAGAGAGAGAGAGAGAGAGAGAGAGAGAGAGATCGTGACGTAGATCCTCGATGTGTTGGATCTTTGAGTAGAGGAAATTCGAACGACGTGCATTGTATGGTTCAACGTTCATTATTAGCGATTACGAAACGATCGGCTGTACAATAATTCGAGATCCCGAATCACAAATGTCCGTATAAAACACGGTACGGCGAACCTTCTCCTTAATTGACGTCTATAGATAGGTGATATACAATGTGAGAGGCGGTACTTCGTAGCTCTACCGTTCTGTTTAATAAAATTATTCGTTTAGATACTTATCACAACAGGTGGAATATATCGTAGGAACCCTGCCTGTGTCTTAACATGTGAGTGTATTTGTTCACGCGCGTGCGTGTGTGTGTGTATGCGTCTGTTGAATGTGTTTGCGTGTATATGTCGAATTTTACAACCACAGCAAATCCCGAATTACATCAGGTATTGAAACCAGCGTAATCCCGGCGAGTTCCAATTTCCGCGAACACACGGGAACGATTTCTGTGCTCGCTCGCACGCGCGCGCCCATGTCGCTCGGTCACGTTAAGGTTCTCCTCGTCTTCCTTTTTCCCCATATCTCGGAAATTGGACTCGCCGAGATCGCACCGAAATTTTAATCCCCGGATTACATTAACGGAGCTTCCGGTCACACGGGCTCGCGCAGCGTCTCCCTCGGCATTCGCGATTGCACGCGCGAATTAAATTCTTTGCGCAAAAAGTATATTTACACGGGCAAACGACCTTTAGAAACGGATACGATCGACGAACGATTAAAATATCGCGCAGTCGCACGCGGGACGGCACGTTTCCGTTTTCGCATCCGCGCGAATTGTCTTCTCTTTCCTTTCCTTTTCTTTTTCTTCTTCACCCCGATCGAAGTATTCACGCGTGTCGCGGAATAGAAGTCTCTATCTCTATCAGGGTCCTATTTACAGAGGTCAAGTGTCGAGCGCAAAATAGAGTCTGATTCCCGTCCGTCGATCGTAAAACCGTGATATTTCGCGCGCTAAATGACACGAAGGTGAACGGCGCGCTTATTGTTACACGCCGGCAAACCGGAAAAGAAACCATACGAGATCGCGCCAACTCTCGTAGCTCGTGGCTTTTAAGGAAGGGACGCGAAATCATTAGAATCACAGTTCAGTTCCCTTGCGTGATCTTGCGGTCAAGCACGAATATCACTAACGTTCCTAGACGTTTAAAGATACAGGTTGGAACGTCTTTCTTTTTGAAAGATTGAAATGAGACTGATACGTAAAGAAGCGAATATTCGCGCCTGTAATTAAAATCTTTTTATCAAGGAGCAGAAGGAATCCTGTAGCGAAATAAATTTTGATGAATTTAAGTTTGTTTATCAGAAACAGATCAATCGAGTAATTTGCGAGGGGTTGCAAGTTGGAACGTCTTTCCTCTTAAAAGATTGAAATATTCACCACGAAACTAATACATGAAGAAGCGAATATTTGCGTCTGTAAATTAAGACTTTTTATCAAGAAGGAATTCTGCAAATATTAATGAATTTAATTTCGATTATCGGAAACAGATTCGCCGAGTAATTCGCAAAATATTGCATCCTCCTGATTTTTAATTACTTTTATCGAAACAGATTTCAATGAATGCACTATCTTTTATCAGAAATAATCAAGTAATTTGCAAAAGATGGAGAGTTGAACCGTCTTCTTTTTAACAGATTAAAATATTTACCACGAAATTAATACGTGGAGAAGTGAATATTTGCGTCTGTAAATTGAGCTTTTTATCAAAAAGAAGAGGCAATCCTCTAACAAAACAAATTTTAATGAATTTAATTTCGTTTATCGGAAACAGATTCATAACTCGCAATAATTTGCGGAGGATTGCAAGTTGGAAGACATATAAATAAACGAATATAGGCTCTATAAATTAAGATCTTTTCATCAAAAAAGCAAAGAAATTCTTTAACGAATAAATTTTAATAAATATAATTTTTTTAGAAACGATTTCATTTAGAAATAAATTTTTAGAATAATCTGCAAATAACCGCAACCTCCTGACGTTAAATTTTCTTCATCGAAACCGATTAATTCACTTTCTCTCTGATTAAAAACTGATTTGATCAGCGATCGAATAATTTGCGAAGGATCTTCCTGACTAACGAATATTACGAGTAAATATGAGTACAAACTCGCGTTTGAGAAACGTAGAGTTTCAAACTCACGAAATTTTCGTCAATGTTGGCTCTGTGTATTCACGGGAGAAAGAGTATCCCAAATCAAATGCTGAGCGAGTCTTCCGAACAAACTTGGCGCCACCAATGTAGCGCGAAGTGTAACATTCATTCTAAACGGAAATACAGTCTGAACGAATGTCACCATTGCATCACAAGCGAGCGTAATCCAAGACAGTCTCGGCACGCGCATCTAAACGAAAACTCTACATTTCTCGCTCGTACTCACACTTACCCCCATCGGCCATCCGCGCGCGCGCGCGCTGTTCAAGGGAGACTTAGAAGCCAACTCACTGGCGATCACCGATCTCGAGGAGAGAGCCGCGCTAACACGTCCGTGGTGTCGCGGGGTTAAAGGGTGTCGCAGGACGATCAGAGGCCCGTGTCGTGCGTTGCGTGCGAGCGAATGAGCGAGCGTGCATGCGTCTGTCCTTTCCCATTGATGACGACGTCACTCGTCGACGTCGATTAGCCTGATGACCGCGCGGTCCAGCCGAGGCGGGGGGATCATCGTCGCGCTCATGATGCTCGCAGCAGTCCCGTGCAGGCGCACGCTGCCCTCGTAAGTGGTCGGACGGTGTTATTGCGAGGACGTCCGCGGTGGTTGGCCGTTGGGCGGCGGCGGGGGTGGTGGTGGCGGTTGCGGGTGCACCTGGTGGGACAAGAGACTGTGCGCCTGTACATGGGCCGCCGGATGGTGATGGTGGTGTTGATGGTGATGGGAGTAGAAGATGGGTTGCGTGGTGGGCGCGCACGAAGTGCCGACGCCGACACCGACGCCTACCCCGACGCCGACCCCGACCGCCGAGTGCGAGAGGGCGGAAGTCGCAACCGACGACGGGACAGGTGGTGGCGGCGGCGGTACCGGCGCCGTCACTGAGACCGACGTGACGCCGCCGGCGGAAGCACCGGTACCTGCCGACGCCTCGTGGTACAATATCGGCACCCTGACCAGCCTCTGAGTGGCGTGCGCCATGTTGGCGGCCTCCAGCTCGGCGGCGAGCTGGCGCTTCCACTTGTTCCGCCGATTCTGGAACCAGATCTTCACTTGGGTCTCGGTGAGCCTGAGCGAGGCGGCCAGCCCGGCCCGCTCCGACGACGAGAGGTAGCGCTTCATATCGAACGTGCTCTCCAGCTGGAACACTTGCGACCTGGAGAACACCGTCCTAGTCTTCTTCTTGCGCTTTATGCTGTTCGACTCGCGACCGTCCACGCCGACCTGCACGCTATTCTGGCCGTTGTTACCGTTGCCGTTTCCCGCGCCGCCGCCACCGCCGCCACCACCACCGCCACCGCCTCCGCCGCCTCCGTTACCACCACCGCTCACTGAGGTGCCGTGGAGGCTCGTCGAGGTCGACTCGCCTTCGCCGTCGGCGTCCGCGCAGTCGTCCCCGTCGCCCAAGTCGTCGTGCGCTTCGTCGCCGCTCGAGGGACTTCTTGTACGGTGCAGGCGATCGTCGGCGTTGTCGTCGTCGAGCTCGTCTGCGGACAAGGAAGCAAGTACACGCGTGTAGTAGCTTCTTCGCGTCGCGGGCATGCTTGTCTCTCGATCAGACGCGGAACTAAGCCGATTAAAGGGCGGGTCGCGGAGATCGCGGTCCCGGTGTTGCGCGATGAATAGGTAATGAACGTTTTGTACGGAAGAGGAGGGTTGGGAGAATATTTTCGTTGATATAATCGAATCGTTAATGAGAAAAAGGGAGGAAGAGAGGAAACGTGCACGCGTTAATCGGCCCCCTGTCCCCCTTCCCCCCTTTTAAACACGATTCACCTACGTCAATCAGCCCGTCGAGAGAGCGCTTTGAACGCACAAATTTTCACGCGCTCCAATAAATCGCTATTATATGTATATTTCTATCCGTATTGCATATTTAATCAATTAATAGAACGCTAATTAATATTCTATTAATCCATTTGGACATAATTGCTGCGGATTGAATCCCCGTGCTGATGCAAATGCATCCCTCTATGACGTTATTTGCGACGTATGCATACATTTGTGTGAAATCGCGTTGCGCGATTCGCGCGTGTGCCCGCGTCTTTTTCTAAAGTCGACGGCGATGCGAGAACGATAAAGCGCGCAACAATTTGTGTGGCGCCTCGGCTGCTCTCCTCTCTCTACAAATATTTTCCTTCTCGTACTTATTATATTTTTCAGCGGCGAAATACGGGATGTTTAATCTTTTCCCTCCACAAATGATCGCTGCAGCGCGCGAGCAAAAAGCCGGATGAAAAATGAAACTAAATACAAACCTTTTTTACACTCGCAATAATTTGATATTTGCGTCTGTGGAAATATAATTGAGCAGAATTTATTTTTAGGAAATACACGCGTCTCCCAATTTCTCATCTCGTCGGACGAAAGTCGCGAGACTGTTATTATGGCAACTTATTAAGGAATCCGACCCGTTTCTTGTCATCCCGCGCGTTATCCGGTATTTTTCATAGAAAGGAAAAGATTGGTCGAGTTAATGTGACAATGGCATAACTAAGGCAAAAATATCAATGCCGGGACACGCAGCTAACTCTGGATATTCTCGTTGTTTTGGTTTTTAAATACGAATATTGAAACTTTTCACATAAAATGTGTGTACCTATATAAAATATATGCATTTATTCTATACTGAAAGTTTAGATATTCGTGTTTAAAAAGACCAAAAAAGATAAAAAATAAACCGCCTTTATAAACCTCAAAAGTCCTAAAAAGTATGAAATAATTTTTAACTTATATTTCTATATAATTATAATTCTTTCCTGATATTGAACGATACTAGAAGTCAGCGTGAAAACTTGATTTTTTTGAGTCAATAATTATATTTTTTTATTATTTATTTCCCTGCAGTCGGTACATCATAGCTAATTTGTTTTTTTTGTGCCGACTTTAATATCATTAGAATAGAACTGTAAAAATATGCAAAAATAAAGATTCAAAATTACTTCATACTTTTTAGGTCCCTTGATATTTTCGAAGACGGTTTATTATTCCCAAAACGCTTTTTTTCTTTCGTACTTTTCGATTATTTACTAAAAATTTGTTTTTAAAGACAGACAAAAATTGATTTTTTAAATAGTAAAAATAAAAGTTTCATTTTATATCTCTAGTTATATTTTCGGTTCTTCAAGAAAGTAAGGGAATTACCCAATTTTCAAGTCACTCAGACTAACCCGGATAATGACATTAATCTGAGAACCATGTAGATGATATACTTGAATAGAAAGGTTAGCCTGAATATTTCTAACGGTTCTCGCGTTGTAATGAGAGAATGCACAAAGAACCTCCTTTTAGAAATCGGCTAAAATGTATTAATACTGAGGTTAGGCCTAACTCTGGATATTATTATTGTTTCAGTCTTTAAATACGAATATTTAAACTTTCAACATAGAGAGTGCATGCATGCATTGAATATATGCATATATTCTATGTATTGAAAGTTTAAATATCAAAATAAGAATGTCCAAGTTAGATATGTGTCCAAGTGTTGATACTTTTATCTGAAATACATTTTGGTCGTTTGGTCGAATGAGACAGAATTTGTGTGTAATTCTTGAGAACCGAATTTGGTTGAAAACGCATTTAGCTGAGTCGTATTGCTCTCTTCTGCGCGCGTCCTTCTTTTCACACGAAGCAACTATTCAGAGCACCCATTCCCCCGCACTCAGAGAAAAAGACACACGAGTTCTGTGTATATATCAAATTAACGTATATTGTTGTATAAACAATTTTACGGAGTTAGTGCAGCTAAAGCTTCACTTAATTAACTCTACGCAAACAACACTCGTGCAGGGTTGTCACTTTACAGTTGCCATTAGCACGTTTTCCTCTGAGTGCGGCGAGTCGTTGTCTGGATGCTCGGTAACTTGGAATCCCCGATCCGCGTTACATCGCAACGCAACACCCGACACCAATAATTATCATCGTTACACCGTCAAAGAGTTTCGCCGTTGTAATACGGGCCACGTCGCCGGACGAGTCGAACGCGGAGCGAGTGGTCGTACGCGTGTGATCGTAGGTGCGAATAGTAACTGCCTAAGTGCTTAGACAAGGTGGCAAGAGCAAAACGATAGGCGGGTAAGGCGATCGACGTTGGTTTGTCGTGGTGGAAGCCGTGGAAGCCTTACGCGCGGTTGTATACGCGAAGGTGTACACAGATATAGGTGCGTCGTCTCTGTAGCGCATGTGGACGATATATCGGTAGGAGGAAGTGTCTACAGGGCTCTCGCGTTATCCCCCGTGTTTCTCCCACGTGCCGTCGCCTTTTCCTCGCGATCTATGTACGCGAACCCGGGGACTCTCGATCTTCTCGATCGTAGTAGGGTATCGCGCTCTGTGAATGGCCTGGGCTGCCTGGCGATTGATCGACGCGCGTCGAACGATGTCGTTTCGCATCGCCATGAAGTACAGGCGAAAATGCTGGAAGAAAAAAAACGCACAAAGGGGTTCCGCGCGCCTTCGATTTCCGCTCGATCGAATTCGAATGGGAAACGCCGCGCGTTACGTTAACTTCATTCGACTCGACGCGAGCCGACGTTCCGAGCCGTCATTGCGAAACAACGTCAGCGACCGCGGCGGAATTCTCCTCCGGCTGGAGTGTTCGCCCGGATTATCCTAAATAAGCCGTCTCCCGATCTGTGCTCTGTGTCTGCGGGAACGCGGGCAGCAGGGGGTGAGAGGAGAAGGAGCAGAGCGGTGGGGAAGGGTGCAGGAGGAGAAAGGGGAGGAGAAGAGGAGGAATCGAACTCACCTCTCTGCGGGAAAGACGCGGACGCGGGACTGACGCGGCTGAGGGTGCCGACCACGTCGCCCGGCGAGGGATGCTCGAGGGTCTGCAGGCCGTGCGTCGGCCTCCATGGAAACGGCCAGCCGGCGCCGCCGAGTAGGACGCCGCGGATGCCGTCGGCGTCGACGATGTCCGCCGATTGGCCGGCGACCTGCACCGCGTTGCTCAGGGCGGACGACGCCGCCGCGGCCAGCCGCGAATGGTGCTGATGTTGTTGATGCTGTTGGTGGAGGTGTTGCAACGTCGACGGGTAGAACAGGCCGCCGATGCCGACCGGGTATCGGCTGGCTATCAATCTGCGGACAACAGGATGAGTGACTTTAGCTTTAGACGCGACGCCGCGGAAATCGCATCTTCGGGGGGCTGTAATTAAATATTTTCTCTTAAAGTGAATCAATACTGAGAGAGGAATGTTTGGGGGGTATTTGTTGTCACATAGAGAATTTATAGTTTGATAAAACCGGTTTCTTATTGAATTCTACTATAATGTTGGTGATAATAATCTTATATGCGTGTTACAATTATCATTTTACTACAAAAAATATGGTTGAAGCCAAAAGTAACTGTAATTTTGGTTAGATCAATTATTTTGTTTTTTCCGTGGTTGATTTTGACCAGCCATTGGAACTAAGATTTCAAAATGTGTAGTACACAAATTCGTCATGCACACTGAGAGAAAAATGTATGATATTTGGAACTATAATGGTAAAAATATTATAGTTAGGAATATAATTTTTATAGTAAATATTACCATAATATTTGTAATATTTACAATATAAGTATAGTATAACTGACCCGTGTAAAATTTTTACCAAGAATTATAATTATTTGAAATAAAAAATATGGTAAGGTGGCAAATATTGAATGGTAAGAGAAATTAACTATTTTATATAGTCAATACAATTGGAATATTTGGCAAATATAGGTACATGTAACTATATTCCCAAAAGATACTTTACCATATATATAGAGTAATAAGATAGTGACTATAAATTTGTGTTCATTCTACTATCTTCATGTTTAGATGAACTATAAATATATATTTGAGGCCAAAACGAACTATAAAATATAGTGAGATTATAGTTATTCCAACTACTTTTTTCTCTCAGTGCACTGCACCAAATTCAACTTCCTTGTGGTGATGGAATTAACGGCTTCTATATGACTCGCGTGCAATGATACTGTGCCTGTGTTTGCGAGCTGTATTAATAATAGAAACAGTCGCTGCTATTCATTTGGGGGGTATTTGTTGTCACATAGGGAATTTATAGTTCGATAAAACCGGTTTCTTATTGAATTCTACTATAATGTTGGTGATAATAATCTTATATGCGTGTTACAACTACCATTTTACTACAAAAAATATGGTTGAAGCCAAAAGTAACTGTAATTTTGGTTAGATCAATCATTTTGTTTTTTCCGTGGTTGATTTTGATCAGCTATTGGAACTAAGATTTCAAAATGTGTAGTACACAAATTCGTCATACACTGCGCCAAATTCAACTTTCTTGTGGTGATGGAATTAACGGCTTCTATGTGACTCGCGTGCAATGATACTGTGCCTGTGTTTACGAACTGTATTAATAATAGAAACAGTCGCTGCTATTCATTGATCTTCTTCAGTCAGATTTCCCTGACTGCAGTGCTATACTTATGACTCGACTACCAGTTATAAGTATAACATTTCAGACCCGGTTTATCATTCTCCTTTTCATTAACCTGTAGTCTAAATTTCGGGCTGTGGCACATAGAAAATTTAAGTAGTATGTAAATGTAAACAGTAAATGTAAACAGTATGGAAATTGACCAATTACAATCGATTATTCTTACTACAGTCAGAGAATTATCGATTATGATTTTTATACTGCTTAAGTTTTCTATATGTCACAGCCCTACACAGTCAAATCACAAGTTGACTAAAGAATAAAAAGCCAAGCGTCAGTGAAGAATACTGATTGTACTTTGAAGAGTAGCAGCGCTCAAAGGTCGAAAGCCGCGAATTCTGTTCACCCCTACGAGTGATCTCGCGTTCTTTCCGATGGTCGTAATGTAATTGCGCAAATGTAAATCGCGAATGCGGGGTTGATGTAACGCACGTGCACAATCGCGCCGACGTTGTGAAATGAAATTGCATTTAATGCGAGAGAAATACACACACACACACACATACACACACAGGCGCGTGTTATTAAATGTCAATGGTTGATTGGTTAGTCCACGAACTTCGAGCTCCATCATCGTCGTCTCGCGAACGATCACGCAAAAAACAAACGGCCGGACGCCACAAGCGCTGGATACATTTCCAGTTTTGTTTTGCGAGAAGAGAGTTACGCGCAGCCGGGCTCTATAAATTCGACAGAATAGAGCCGACCTGCGGCGCTAGTAATTCGACCATGCGCGATCGTTACGCTTCGGGATAAGTGCCGTCGCTCGTAGCGCGCGGCGCGACCATTACGACTCGGATTTACTCGACCGGCTGAAAGAGTGAAGAAAAGCGTGTTTCCCCACCGACGTGGGGATATTCGGAAACGGTGTTTGCGCCGCAACAACAGCCGGACGTGTTACGGATGAAAACGCACGACTGGTTATTAAGAGGAAAAATCCGCTTAGTGTGCGAGAGGAGCACTCGAAGATCGGCCGCGCTGACCGAAGGTGATACCTGAGCTGAGCGTCCTTCCAGTAGCGGATTTAGAGCTATTAGGCCCTCCAAAATGGTTCAGGGCATAGAGGCTCCAGTTAAATCGACCTAGTTTAACGTTAATCGTAGCTGATTTCGATTGCAGAATCAGTTTCCGCCCTTAGTAGTCTCTCTCGCAAAAAATAGACGTTCTCTCGAAATTTCTTGCAGTGAGATTCACTCGAAATTAAAGAGTGAATCTGACTTATTTCACCGTCATATACGAATATATCCGCTCTAATCGTTTGAATTCATTCATCCAATACATTCGCTTATGCGAAATTAGAATTCGCTCTAGATTTGAGTGAAACGTTCACTCTTGCGATTTTGAGTGGATATGTTTACTGTCGGTTGGAGTGAAAATGCTGCCGCTTTTCACTCGTATTGATCAAGATTCCACTCCAAGAAATTTGGAATGTACTCTCCGAATTGCTTCGAGCGAAACTTCACTGGGAAAGTAAAGTTACCACCGAATCATTCGAATTCGAGCGATTTTTCAGTCATACGAAATTAATCCTCCACTGTGAATTGTCGAGTGAATATTTTCCCTCAAAATTGAAAAGTGAATTTGATGTATTTCACTGTCATATACGAATATATTCGTTCTAATTGTTTGAAACATTTGCTTATGCGAAATTAGAATCCGATCTAGACTTGAGTGAAACATTCACTCTTGCTTCTATCACTTGGAGTGAAAATGTTGCCGCTTTTCACTCGTTTTGATCGAGATTTCGCTTTAAGAAATTTGGAAAGTACTCTCTGAATTGTTTCGAGTGAAATCTCACTGGGAAAACAGATTTACCGCCGTCATTCGGACTCGAGTCCGATTTTGAATATTTTTATTCGAAATTGAAAAACAAATCTGATGTCCACAATACTTAATAGCCTTAATGAATTTTTTACGCGCAATACCTGGACATATTCGTACATGATAACTGTTGATTATTTCGAGGAAATGGCTCCGTCGAAATAATCAACAGTAATGATGCACGAATATGTATACACATTGCGTGTAATGGAGAAATTTATTTTTTTTTTTATAAAATGTAAAGGTTATTATTCTGGATTGTGTATTCCATTGTTGTACAGGAACATATATTCCACTCTAATTATATAAAACATTCGTTCACATAGAGTCAGAATCCATTCTGAACTTGGGTGAAACATTCACATTTGCGATCTCGAGTGGCAGCATTTTCACCATCGCTTTGTGTTGAAAACACTGCTACTGCTTCACTCGTCCTGAACGAGATTCCACTCCGAGAAATTTAGAAAGTTCCACGCTGACAACGATCACAACGACCCCCGTTGCGACCGCACGCAACTGCACGCGAAAGAGACGTAGTAAAAATTACAAGAAAACTTTTCAATTTTGAGCCTCACAGAAGTTACAACCGAAATCACCACACATTTCCTTATGAATACGCACGCCCGACCGCTCATCAGAAAATTATTGTAATTGCTTGAATGCTTCTTATGTCATATATTCGGTGGATTGTTAGATTTATACTGTTTTACAGTTTTACAGTCATTTATGCTACATTGTCGCACGGTGTAGTCCAGAGCTCTGCAGGAAACATTGTTGAAAAAGAAGTATACTATTGCATATACACTGAAAAATTAATTTAGTTGGGTTAACCAAAATTTGGTTAAAATAAGGTTGAACAAATGTTTCGGTTGTGAGAGCCAACATTTCGTTCTTTCTATCAAAGATTTGATTCTCTGAAACTAAACTTGTTTCATTTTCAAAGAATCAAACCTTTGGTTCAAAATACATTTGTTCCACCTTATTTTAACGAAATTTTGGTTAACTCAACTAAATGAGTTTTTCAGTGTACAATGAAGTATATACAATCCAGAATAATAACTTTAACATTTTACAAAATTTATAAAATTGAAAAGGAAGTATAATTATATGTAATTTTAACTATTTAACGTTTTCTCCGTGCACAGTTCGTGCAATTTAATTGTTCGAGCAAAATAATTTTTCGATACCCTTAGGTGGTCGGGCTCTTTGGATCATTTATCGATGAGTCCATCATTGAGCTTGTCCCTTGTCCCTCGCTTCTTGTTCGACCGTTTCTCGCCTACTAACGAACGCTCTCTTTCCCCCGATCGTTACTGCCGATTGCGGCTAAACAAGGCCGTCGCAGCTGCACGCGCGAGTGCTAAACGCGCGAGTTCGCGCCGAATTGCGGCGACGAGCCGAGTAGAAATGTAGGTTGATAGGCAGGCAGAGCCTGGTCGACCGATGCCGATATTGGCGAACAGGCATGCGGGCCGAGGAGGCTTCGGAAGCCCTAGCACTTCCCCGTGTTCCTTCCTCGCTTCCCCGGCAGTCCGTCTGCGACGAACGGCGATCTGATCTCGTTTCGATACTCGTCTCGCGCTCATTCCACTTTGGTTGCTACGTGAGCGTGTAGAGTGCTTCGTGCCTATCTGACAACGGCGACAATTGGTCAATTGTCCGACGAACAGAGCGAACAATTCGGACGTTTTAATATCCCAGTAGATTTCCCTCCCGATGTCCCGTGTCCATTTAATCGTGGCTATTCGCGATTAAACTCGCCCTTCGAGGAGTTTATCTTGGAGCATCTAATTATCTCCTCTTCTTCACCG